TGGACTAGTTAGAGACTTTTTTGACATTTTAGCTAATGTTAGGGAGTTTAATTTTAAGTTAAGTGAGGATCTTTTGGTCAAAAATTTAATTTGGTGGACAAATATTGTCCACAACAATCGGGTCCTCACCCACCAATCATTACTAGGTGGCATCGTCTTCGTCACCCTCTCCTCCCTTCCCCTCTCTCTCCTCTATCATTTCTTCCCATCACAGGCCCCCGCCACCCATCTCTGCCATGTATCCCCTGTCTCCCCTTCCTGAGAATCATTTCCCTCGCTTCCCCATACCCCTTTCTCTTTCTGTCTTGAACCCCTCTTCCACCCCCCCTTTTCCCTTCCCTCTCTCCCCGTCCCTCCCTCCCTTTGAATCCGAACCCATATCCCCTTCTTCACCGACCACCGCTTCTCCCTTTGAACCTTTTCAAAGGTCGCCGCCTTTGATTGACCTCTCCCCCCCTTTCGATTCTCCTCTTCCAAGAGCTCCCTCTACTTACCATTCAAAGCTCCCCAATCCTCTCGCCAAAGATCCCTCACTCCCATTACCTCCTTTGTCTGGCCGGCTGGAATCCCTCCCTTCCTCCCCCGGTGACCCCTCTCTCTCGGCAGCTTCTTCAGGGAAAGGCATCTAGATCCTCCTCCTCCCCGTTTCTCTATGAGCCACCGCCTTGGGAATAGCACTGATCCATTTGACTTTGCAACCAACCCCTCTGCCAAACTTGTCAAAAGATTTGACAATCTAAACAAGAATCATTGAAGATGAAGGATTAAAAGAGTTTCATAAGAAATTTCAACTCTCTTAGAATTTTTGGTAAATCTGTGCACCTATGAGTCATGATTACTCATTGAGTTTTGAGTCATGATTACTCATTGAGTTTTGAAAGAAAAAAAAGTATTGATAAGTTCATATGATGATTAAAAGTCATGAAATATAGTAATGCTGTGGACCCGAACCAAATAAAATGATTCACTCTAACGCAAACACATGATACTAAAAATGCACCATTTATACACTCCACCTCCAAGTAACAGTGTGAAATAAGTGCCAGTGGCAGTAAGCAAGTAATGTATGTTATTTGTCATGCCTTTCAAGACCAAGCCTTATGATCCTTGAAAATTTGGAGTTAGTAAGTCGCAATAAGCTTCTTTTATATAAGGGAAAAGTTTATGTAGAGCCGAGGCTCTAAACAAACAAATTCGAGCCTACCTCAAAAATTTCACTAGAAGAGGTTTTTTTTATGCCCAAATATCCTCAAATTGATCATCTCGACATCAAGATGCATGGACATGAGAAAAAAAATGGATTTCAAGCTTTGGAAATAGTGCATTTTGTAACACATTTTTAGACCGTCAACTTTCAAGATTTTCAAGTTTTCATAAATCTCTCGATTTACACTATTTTTGAAGCTTTAAACTTTATAAATAAAGATGAAAATATATTTTAAGGCTATCAAAAAGATTTCTAGTATTGGAACCGCATTTCTCGACACTATTTGAAGGTAGGCTCTAATTTGATTGTTTAGAGCCTAGGCTCCTATACAAGCCGCACCCTTTAGATAAGGCGACAAGTGACAACCAATTCAAGGTGCATTGTCCTCACGATTAAAGGAGATCTGCAGCTTAATTGTTTCTTTGAAGTTATTTTTGGATGTTACCGTTGCACTCATTATCAACAATGAATAGGTAAGAACAGTAATAATAGTGCCACCTAGAAAAGTAATAACAGTGCCACCTAGATAACCTCAATTCAGAACCACATGAAGCAAAATGCTACACCAAAGCAGCAGATGTCCATTACTTAGGCTATAGACTACAAATCAGTGAGCAAAGCCTCAACATTCTCGATATGTGATTATATTTACACTACTTTCAGAAACAGAATCGTTAATACATGAAGGCATGGAAAAAAAATCAAGTAGCAATGACAGGAGATGACAAATATAGACTTATTAAATGCCAATTAAAAAGAAAAGAAGAATTACTCTCCATCATCAATGAGCACAAATTGTAAGCATTAGTGAATAATATTTCATCCAAGATCATATAATCAGTCTTCACATGCACAAATGGCACAATGGGTTCAACTACCACTGCAAATAGAGATATTATGTAAAGAAAATTCATCATAATCTTCACTATAACTATAACTTGATTGTGTGATAACCACTCGGACTACCTATGACCATGCTTCTCTCGGACAAAGTCCTAAAGAAGAATATATATCCATAAGGGAAAGTATAGAATGAGACCGTTTACCTTGGTACAAGGTGAGACATTAATCTTGACTATTGGATGTGAAATTGGGTAGCTGCAATTATTCCATTGACCAAGCTCAAACTTCAAAAGAAATTTTCTCGAACTTTGTGACACATCCAAGCTATCAAACTTCACATCGGATGGTTGTCAGTAATTGTGACCAACTTGTATCAATGGTAAATGGTCTCATTGTATTCAATCCCTATCCATAAATACCTACCCCATATCATTTACAAAGTACATCTATGAAGAACCTTCTACCAAAAGTTAGGCGTGTCAATGAGCAGCACCAACCCAACATTAGGCATGTTCAAGCTTTGCTTGCATTGTGGAGGGACACATTAGAGCTTGGCATGGCTACTTCATTTAAACAAGCGCATAAACAAGCTGAGTAAAGCCACAAGGCGCTATATAAATATAATACGTACATACTATATATAGTATGTTAAGTCAAGTTTCCTATTTGATTGTGACCTGTGAGGTCAAAATCATATCCACACTAGGGCTGATAACAGGCCAAGCCAGTGCTTGAGGCCAGGACAGCCACAGGCCCAGCCCTACCCCGGCCCTAGTCCCTTCGGGACCAGCTCAAGCTCGGCCAGTACTGAACAGGCCCTGGCCCTAGCATGGCAGGGCCAAATAAATAAATAAACAAGAAAAAAAAATAAGGGCCCAATCACGCCTCCCCAGTTGTGCACTGGCCCAAGCCCAGCACACCCAGCCCTCGAGCCCCATTTTGATGCTCAGGCCCTAGGCTTTTAGGGCTGGGCTGGGCTGGGCCTTTCAGCCCATTGCCACTCCTAATCTACACTGATGGTGATCTTACTCAGAATTTTTCAGCAGCAAAATGCCTCAACAAAAAAAAAAAAAAATCGACAACAAAGTGCCCTTACAAACATATAAAAATTACATTAACTATAGTTTTTTTGGAAATTTTGAAAAGGGTATATTTGTGATTTCAAATTGCTTTAAAATACAATTATCATTCAAAAAGTCAAAAGAGTCTTTTTAAATTTAAAAGAGTTTTGGAATAATTTTAAAAGAATAGTAGTACTTATCGAATACATGTACTATCTATAGTCAAAAGTCATTTTGAACATATTGGGGCATTTTAAGGACAAAAGTTTTGGAGTAGTAAATTCTCAAATCATTATTAACGTGTCCTAGAATAACTCTCTCTCTCTCTCTTAATATTTGTATATATATATAGGTGCGGTTAGTATAAGGCTGAGGCCCTAAACAATCAAAGCAAGGTGCACCTTTAAATAGTGTCGGAAGATGTCGTTTCAGTACCAAAAATATTATGATGACCTGAAAATTTATTTTCATCTCTAAATATATAATTTAAAGCTTCAAAAATAATGTAGGTCAAGCAAATGTTGTAGATCTATGAACACTTAAAAACCTTGAAAATTGACAATCTAGATAACGCATTACAAGAAGCCCTATCCAAGACTTGAAGTCCATTGTTTTTTTGTCCATGTATCTCAAGTTGAAGATGATCGGATTTGAGAGTTTTCATTCATCAAAACAACTTCTAGTGAATTTTTGGGTGCGTTTCAATTGATTGTTTAGGGCCTCAACCTTATATAAACCTTTTCCTATATATATATATATGAGCAATGATCCAATGCAACGGTTGAATCATAGTATAATGCAACGACACTTCTAGAAAACCATGTTTGTGGTATTTGTATGACCTCAAATTTTGCACACACACTCTCTTGATCTCAATAATCAATCCCCCAAAAAAAAAACAAAGTTCAATTTGAAACCTAGTTATGGTCAAAATAAGTCCCCTCCAAAAACGAATCTAGACCATTCATTTTGTGAATTTCATGATTTAGCCTTTATAAACTCAAAATCATTATTTGCTTTTTTAACATTGTTCATCTAAAGTTAATAAAGCCATCCAAAAAAATTGGAAATGAAAAAATCCTTCTAAAGCCTAGATCTAAGC